CCTCCAAGTATAATTACTCGTAAGTGATAAAGTCAAGGAGGATGAGATGGACAGGGCATGTAGCAAGAATGTGGAAGAGGAATGCATATAGGAAATTTGTAGGAAAGTCAGAAGGAAAGAGACCACTGGGTCGATTTACCCCAGGGAAAGAAGTCCCGTACCCACTGGGTAGGAGGTTGCGTGGACCCCAGGATTGGTGTGGGCAACGTGTAGAGGAGAAAAACCTTGACCCTACCGGGACTCCAATCCCTCGGCTGTCCAGCCGGCAGCCAGTCGCTATACCGACTGCGCCACCCTGGTAGTATGGTAGATGAATTGGAAAATATCTGAAAGAAAGCGATCGTGGCCTACTCGTGATAATGTTCCGCATTTTGCATGGAGGAACTGATGAAAACCATGAAAATGCTCAACCAAGATTACCGGTGTCCCAGAGATTCCAATCGATAACCTCCCGAATAGAAGTGCAACCGCTGCCCAAGCCTGTTCGGTGATGAGTCATATTAAAACGTGTCAGACATTGCCGGTACTTAACAGACAATGATAATATGTCAGGTGCGAATGAGTGACGGTTCACATTGTTTGGTGCCACACCTGCATACATTCTGCGGTAAGCAGAACTGCCTTTACGACTTTCCCTTCATATACTGAAAACTCGCTAATTCGGAAAACTGGTTGCCCTCTGCATTACGAAGATGTTCATGGAACTGGCCCGAGTGATGCTCGTGACTGGCTTAATAAGCACGAGGACGACTACGAATACGAAAATCTCACCGAACGCCGAAGGAACAGCGCAACGAGCCAAAAAGAGGACGGTTCAAATTTTCAGAAATGAAACAGACTTGGACTCCATCACCAGTGGCTGGCAGCCACCTGCTCACGCTAGTTCCTCGCTAGCGGTTTTTCTGCCCTGAAGATGGACGCGATACATTCCTCCGAAACATCGGTTTACACAATATCTACACGGCGCCACATCCCAGAAGACGGATTTCTTCTTTTTTAAGAACGTTGTCAAAACTTGCATTTTTACATTTTATGACAAGTAAATTTATTTCGTGATATGCAATCTATGTTTCAAAATAACGTTGTATTGCCTAGAAAGACACGTGAAGTTCATTTTATAGCTTCCCTGAATATATTTTCAGTAACACTTCTATAATTCCGATTTTCAATAATTTGGGCAATGGTTCGCTCCCAATTAGTCCCAATTAGTGAGGTCTTACTATTATTTTAAAACTGGCATTCACAAATTTCATACATTAGCCACTTCTTTGTAAAGCACGGATTAATAATGCCTGCCCCATTAAAAAGGGTATTAAGTTTCGGGGGCTTGATGAGAAATAAAACGTCCATGGTGCAGCCGAACCGTCGGGCACGTGTGCAGCTCCGGTGAAACATGTCAGCACCAATCGCGTGGCGTGTAGGGTGAGATACTGCGGTAATAATGCCAGTACATAAAAGCTATAGGCTCAAATGACAACCATCAAAACTATTTTTATATACGAACAAGACAGAATTCATACGTTAAGGCCCCTTGCTTCTAATAACCATACATTCAGTTATCAATTATTAATGTAGAGCCGTAATCAATTTAGCTGTCATTTGTCTGTAAGTACATGCTATTTAAAACTGCTAATGGAACTAAGCGAGCCATTCAATAAGCTGGGGAGGGAGACGCAGAGGGTGCTGCTCGTCAGGTCTGCATACGTGTGCATTCGGTTTAGGTTTAATTTACCCGTAAGTGATCACTACTTTTGTCCCACTGGATGTAATTACCACTGTACTTCTGACAACCACATAGTCACTCGAATCAAACTGAGCTATCGAAATGTCGGCAGTGTTCAGCACACAAAAAAAATCACAAATTAAAGCTTAATTATTTCGATCCTACAGTCAGGGTCATTAGCTGCTACACGCTGATGGAATCCTGCTTCCTGAAATTTAGAGTAGAGACAGTCGTTCCGTCGCTAGATGCAAATATCGGAGAGCGACTTACTGATTAACTATCCATTTCTTCTTCTTCTATAAACTCTGTGGCTTTAGTCCGCAAGCGAATTATAACGACCGCCGCTTGTCGGCGAAGTTAGCGCCAACTTATGCGAATAGAGGTGAGCCATGTTATGGCTCTTGGATGATGTCATGCCTTCCAGCCATGTTAATCCCTACCCCTTCATCCCGTGCTGGAGTGTATCACGTGGGATTCCGCTTTCTCTCCCCGGCCCCTCTACAAATGGCTCGGAAGAAGCCGGTTAGTGAATCAAGATTCATTCGCTGCTTGGATCCACAGCGTATCGGACGTACGCGGCCAGCCTGGGATATTTTTCAAATTCGGTTTCGGAAGGCATTCTAAATTATGTCTGGGAGGTTGTGCTGGCAACACACGTCGGGGGTTTTGCTTGCATTATAGGTTATTGTGTGGCAGAGCGATGGGCTTTAATTTAACGTTGCGTCATTGTGTTTTCTTTCCTAGGAATCGCCTGTGGGCAAGGAATATTTGTTAACGTTTAGTTTGCGCCTGCTGAAGTAGCATGATGGTAAACAAGAGTAATAAGCAGTGAGAGTGGGCTGTTAAGTGTACTCTGATGCCGCAGTTAAGGCAAGAGTAAAGTAACTGACAGATGTGGTCACAGGTTGTATGTTTTGGGGCCCACGGCTTCTATTAACTTCTAATTGTTGTATTCTGTTTTATTGTGTTTCTCTTATTAAATTAATTTATGATTGTGAAATTGTCTTGTCGATTGGAAGTGTCTCCCTGCTGTGGCTTGGAGTCCCTACTACATCTAGGGAGCATTGTGAACATAACATGAGAGCCCCTGACGTTGCGCCGCTCCTGTCTTGGACGTAAGAAGTGCTAGATATCAGGAAGGAGACGGTGCAGTAAAGAGGGTATCGCGTGGTCAGCGCAACAGATCCCCACGGCCGTTAATTTCGGTTTTCCAGACCGGAACCGCTACTTCTCACTTCAAGTAGCTCCTCAATTATCCTCACGAGGCTGAATGGACCCCGTTCCAGACCCATTACTTCTCAGAAAACCTGGTAGCGCCGGGAATCGAAGCCGGGACCTCTGGATTTGTAGCCAGGAACTCTGACCGCTACACACAGAGACAGCCCTTCTTCTACATTTCGTATTATGCTCTACGGTCTCTTTTTCCATCAGAATTAATCTGGATCATATAGACAGTCCGTAGAACTCCCTGAATGGATGATCAGTCTCTTCGCAAGACCGCTAACTACATAGGAAAACGCAGACACAGAAGAAACGTAGACAGACATCCATGGCTCGAGTGGGATTCAAACCCACGATCGCAGTGTTAGAACAGGCGAAGACATTTCATGCCGTAGATCGCGTGGCCACTGATATCGTCACTATCCTCTTAGTTGTTTTTTTTTTAGTGTCTTTGAGTGGGGTGAGACTGAGTCCAATTGTTACGTCGGCCAGCATAGGCTGATAGATGATGATGAGTGTGGAGCAGTAGGTGAAATTAGAATTGTCAGGGGAAACCGAAATACTCTGAGAAAATCTACCCCAACGCCACTTTGTTCACTACAAATCCAGCATGACTGGACCTGGGCTCGAACCCGGGCCGCCGCAGTGGGAAGCCGGCGACTAACCGCCTGAGATATGGCACGGCCCACTATCCCTCTAACTACACCAAATAACAATGAGATTGGATTGTGAGACCGTGTTATGAAATGTAAGAGGCATACACGATTACGCACGAGAGAGGCGAGTGATTCATAATTTTGATAGGAACGGAATGAAAAGAAAATACTACCTGGAAGATCCTGGCATAGATGGATATTAAGAAAATTGGATGTGAGGGTACGGACCGAATTCTACTGGTTAAGGACAGTGGCGGGCTTTTGCGAACCTTCGAGACGCACAGAAGACGAGAAATCTGCTGACGAGTTCTGCGACTATCAGCTTCTCAAGTAGGACTCTGTTCCATGAAGTGAGTGAGTCAGTACAGATTACGAACTTCTTCAATATAAAATCTTCCCCATTCTACGGATATTTCCTCTCACTTGCATTCAAACGTGCTGCTCTTGTATACCTGCCTACTCATATTTAAACAGATGCTAACGATTCTTCAAAAAGGGAGCAAACATGTATTTGAATTGCGCTGTCGATTTTAAGCATACAGTGAAGAATGCCGTCTTTCTGGGATGTGGCGCCGTGAACACCTCAAATCCTATATATTAAGCATACAGTGTTTGAGAACACTAATGGTTCAGAGAAGGCATGCAGCAGTAATGTTCATACTGACAAAACGTCTCGGTGCCCGGAAAGTCAATTCTGAAAACGACCCAAGTTCCCGAACTCTTGAGTTTATGGGAAGGACAATGCAAACAAAATCTTATTCAGAAATATCAGATAATGCGAAGAGATGTCTCCGCATACATGTTAGTAAAAATGTCAGCAATTCTGACGTTCTTCGCGTTGATGTGTTCAACAATAGCGGCTCCCACTTCCATTCTTTGATATGTAAGATTCGAAATGGGCAATGGACTTACCCATGCCTCCTTCTGCTGACAATGGACCTACTGCTCCAAAGAGTCGCTTATCTGAATGGAAGATTCGGAATGGGCAATGGACTTACCTATGTCTCCTTCTGCTGACAATGGACCTACTGCTCTAAAGAATCGCTTATCCGAATGGGCAATGGACTTACCCATGTCTCCTTCTGCTGGCAATGGACCTACTGCTCCAAAGAGTCGCTTATCTGAATGGAAGATTCGGAATGGGCAATGGACTTACCTATGTCTCCTTCTGCTGACAATGGACCTACTGCTCCAAAGAGTCGCTTATCTGAATGGAAGATTCGGAATGGGCAATGGACTTACCTATGTCTCCTTCTGCTGACAATGGACCTACTGCTCCAAAGAGTCGCTTATCTGAATGGAAGATTCGGAATGGGCAATGGACTTACCTATGTCTCCTTCTGCTGACAATGGACCTACTGCTCTAAAGAATCGCTTATCCGAATGGGCAATGGACTTACCAATGTCTCCTTCCGCTGGCAACGGACCTACTGCTCCAAAGAACCGCTTATCTAACACCTGAAGTAGCTGAAGAGCAGTTTCATGTACTAAGGTTCTTGGACAACCTGTATTCATCAGCGTCACGTTGATCACCGCAGTGTAATGGTCACATGGATATTCCCTGTAAAGCAAAACACGCAGTGTCATTCTTAACACCGGTACAAATCACAAGCAACGTATTTTTAAAAACACTGACAAATCACAGATATAACTTCCGCTTATCCCTTCATTAAACAAATCAGCTTAAGAGGAATCATAAACTTTTAAATCGTTCAATGCCAAACAACATGTCAATCAAAAATCAGTGTTTGTTGAAGTGCAAAGTTATACCCGTGACATTACGAGCGTTTTTCTACTAATTACATCAACGTTTTGTGAAGGAAAAAAGAACTCCACGTCGATATTTCAGCCGGTCTCCAACTGTCAGTCTCAAATCACGCAGGTCGCAGTTAATCTTCGGTCTAAAGGCGGAATAGCCGGGGAAGTGGGGTAGCTTCTGGGGTGGAAAAAAATCCGTGGGCTTACCTCGTGGAAGATCACTTACTTTTACATAACAATCCCAAAATTTTGTAAATTTTAATCTTTAGGTTTTTAGATAGGACACAGACAGATAAAACGAACTGTTAGATAGTCGCTTTTATTCCACGATATAGCGATGTATCAATTTCATTTCTGTATTGGTGTGAAACTCTGTCTCTGACATTAAGGGAGGAACATAGACTGAGGGGGACTGAGAGCAGGGTGTTAAGGAGAATATTTGGACCGAAGAGGGATCAAGTGACAGGAGATTGGAGAAAACTGCATAATGAGGAGCTTCATAACTTTTGCTCTTCTCCAAGTATAATTAGAATGATCAAGTCAACGAGGATGAGGTGGGCAGGGCATGTAGCATGAATGGGGGAGAAGAGAAATTCATATAGGATATTTGTGGGAAAGCCAGAAGGAAAGTGACCACTGTGAAGACAAAGGCGTAGGTGGGTGGACAATATTAAAATGGATCTTACAGAGACAGGATGGAATGGTACTGATTGGATTGATCTGGTTCAGGATATGGACCAGTGGATGGCTCTTGTGAGCACGGTAATGAACCTTCGGGTTCCATAAAATACTGGGAAATTCTTGAGTAGCTGCAGATTTGGCTTCTTCTCAAGAAGGGCTCAGCTCCATAAGTAAGTAAGTAAATCAATTTCATCAGAAATATCTTCTCGCTTTCCTGTTGGCGTTCTCAAGTATTTGACCTCTGTAATATCATTTTTAAGTAAATTAATATTTATTCGTGAATAGTGATTTTTATGTTACGTTGACAAGACATGAAAATACACATAATTCTGAGCGTGTCTGTTTAAATCAACATCCTTAGGTAACTGAGTACTCTGTCTTCAGACGTCTAAGCTGTGACAGGGCTAAAAAGATATTAACAGACCACTATCTCTTGTGGTTTCTGTGTTCTGCTTTATATTCATCTTCGACCAACAAACTAACACCATCAGCAAATATTACAGTTCGTTATCTACACGGTTTACATAGAAAATATACGCCAAGTGCGTGACACAATAATTGTAACAAAAAATGGCACAGATGTTCCGAGACTACGTTCTAGACAGAAAACTCCACCTCTTTTGAAAGGAATATAATAATTATCTATTACGATTTACACAGGATGACGCAACAACCATCAGTGAAAGACAGAGCTATTTTAATCTTCTGAAGCCCCAAGACTATACACATAATATTTACAAACCCAGCTCCTACCTCTCAGAAAACACAGTCTCCACTACAAAGACAAATAGTTTAAGTTTATTTAGGAAGGTAAAGTAGTCCATGCCGGTCACGGTAGCCGAGCGGTCTAAGGCATGCACTGTCTTCGCTCGCTCGGAAGCCGGGATCGTGGGTTCGAATCCCACTCAAGGCATGGATGTTTGTGTGCGCTTTTCTGTGTCTGTGTACAGGTAGAGGCCTTGCGACGAGCTGATCACCCGCCCAAGGAGTCCTACCCTATGTGTAAGATATAGAAAAACCGAAGTGAACGGAGAAGTTCATGGAGGTAGACCTAGGCCCACTGGGGCTGTAGTGCCAAGGAAAAAAAAAAAAAGTAGTCCATGCATTTAACTGATTAAGCACTACGCCATGAAGTCGTAGGCGGGAGTGGATGTCTAGACCCACGTTTTATTGACCTCGGAACTAGCTGGAGGTGAGTGGTCAGCTTCACGCACCGGTCGCTTTACCCCCGGGGAAAGAGCTAACATTACCAATTGGATAGGAAGTTAGGTGGACCCCAGAGCCGGTCTGGACGACATGGAGAAGAGAAAATTCTTGACCCTACCGGGACTCGAACTCCGACCCCTTGGTCGTGCAGCCCGTAGACAGTCACCATATCGACTACGCTAAACCAGACTCCCGTTGCTTCTTCTGAGAATCATACGGAACCCGTACATTCCGTATGCATCATGAAGAGTTTTATTAACGGCTATTAGTACGACTTATAGTTAACCGCTGTACTTTAATTCAATGCAATTAGTCTTTCCTCATTCGGTCGAACTTTACGGAAAAACTGACAGACAATGGCAATAATACAGATCTGGATTTAAATCAGTATTAATAGGAAATGTTTCAGACAAACGTTTGCCTGCGGAAACATTTCTACAGGTTTCGTGCAGACACACCGCAATTATCCAAAGTAGATTTCTGGGTAGACCAAAGTTAGTTAGAATGCAGAGCAACACAACTCTGCCAGGAAAGGGATTGGTTACGAATTTAACAACCGGACTACAAACCCCGATATAGACAGGACACTTTGTGTTCATCGACGCTTCCAGACACGTTCTGGTTATCCTGCCTCTTGAGGTACTATGCTACAAGCATAAATGTCGCTGGTTCGATTCCAGATTTGATAATTGCATTTTTCTATTGATCTAATCCTTCCAGCCGCACTATGGCCCTGCGGTTGACAGCCTCTGACATGAGTATCAGGAATCTTCCTAGGTGTAAAAGGCGGCCGGCAGGAAAGGCTGCCAATCTCACCGCCATCTGTGAGCCGAATGTCCAGAAAATGTGGGAGCCTCGACGTCTAACAAGACTATGGGTCTCCACGGCCTGTTACAGGGGTAACTTTACCTATAAATAGAAACAGTTAACACTTTCACGGAGTTTCATGGAGGTAGGCCTAAGCCCAAAAATTGGGGCTGTAGCGCCACAGGAAAAAAAAAAACACTTTCACGAGGGCAAAGCACCAAAAGCATGGAGTTGATCACATACCTCCATCCAGAGTCGAGGCAAAGAATGAATGGAGCTTTATACCTAGTCGGGGGTTGGAAAAGGAACGATGAATTAGAGAAGATTTTTATTTTGAATTGGAGGCCAATTTCTGTTCAATATGCACTACAGAGTTCAATTAATATGCGCTCTCCCGAATTTTTTTAATCGGGAAAACGTATAACGCGATTATGACTAAAATGAGAAAACTTGCATATTAATTAGTTGAAATGAGCGACACAAATGAGTATGGCCATTCTAGAAGATACGCGAAAATGTGTTTACACTGGTTTCAATTTTTCTAATTTAATGCCTCATTCAGTGTAAAGTGTATCAAGAATGATGCAAGGAAAATGCATGTAAATAAGGTAACACCACGACAGTGAAATGCTGTGATGCAAAACAAATAAGATCGCTTCTGTTCACGAACTAAATTTCACTTCAGCAGAACTGCCGCTACACAATTTAATACCTCTCCTTATAATGGGAGGAAATCTTATAAGCGAAAAGTGTGTGGACTGAATAAGTCTAAAAGAGTTTCTAGATAAACAAATATGATCCTACAAATACTTTCATTAAAATCATGCTGTGGTTTACATGTAAATTTATTATTTAAGCCGTCAGACGCCATGTTAATGATATATAGGTCTATATTCGCATGGTTCTGAACATCAATGTGAACCAAGTTTGCTCGTTAAAAAAGCATTCTCTTTCTCCTTTCTTCAATTTCTATATTTCATATGACTCCAGTTTCGTACACGTAAAAGAAAAAGTTGGCCGGTCTAAGGCATGTACTGTCTTCGCTCGCTTGGAAACCGGGATCGTGGGTTCGAATCCCACACAGGGCATGGGTGTTCAGTTTGTGTGTGTGCGTTTTTCTGTGTTTGTGTACAGGTAGAGACCTTGCGACGAGCTGATCACCCGCCCAAGGAGTCCTACCGAATGTGTAAGATCCAGAAAAACCGAAGTGAACGGAGAAGTTCATGGAGGTAGGCCTAGGCACACTGGGGCAGTACTGCCGAGGAAAAAGAAAATAATAATAATACAGCCGGTCACGGTAGCCGAGCGGTCTAAGGCATGAACTGTCTTCGCTCGCTCGGAAGTATGGATCGTGAGTTCGAGTCCCATACAAGGCATTAGCGGGTAGAGAGTGTCGCGTGGTGAGCGCAAAGGATCCCCACGGCCGTCAATCTCCGTTTTCTAGACCGAAACCGCTATAAAAGTCAATTACGCTATGTTAACACTTGCTATTAAGTGGAAAATATGAATATCATATTTACATTTCAATCTAAACCAAAATGCATGCTGGACAGTTCATTAATTAAGGTAAAATGTAAACAGAACACTGACACTTGAACCACTCACCACATAAAGTGAATATCACAGTCAACGCATTCAACTTCCATGTTTATTAACTTGCTTATGGTTGTGAAGTAACCCGTACTGAATGCGGACTCCGCGTCAAAGTGACAGGGAATGTTACTAAACTCAAGGCTTGCACTCATGACAGCCTCCTGCCACAAAGCCAATACCGAGAGGGTTAAGTGCAATTCGAAATATTTGTGTAATCAACCTAACGTCTCACATTTAGAAGTTAATGGTTGCATTCCCGTCGTATTAACCAAATGTAGACAAAAGTACATATCCCACTCAAACGCAATTTTTATTGTAAAATGATTAAAAACAATTAAAAGGTTAACTGTTTCGGCGATTTTAATTCACCATCATCAGGCCTCTATATCATGAACGTGGAGAGTAAGCTATTAGATGTCCCTTCTGTAATCATGTGATAAAGACATAAAAACACTAATAAATACGATGTAAAGTACAAATTCTGGGGCAGGTTCGAGGAAATGTTATGATAAAACT